GTTCAAGATAGAGGCAGCCAGAACACTTGTTGGAGCAAGTGCCTGCTTTTTTGTGAAGGTTTGTCTCCATGAAGTATGAAGAAATACTGACAATTTAATAGCCAAATAGCTTAGTAGGACTATCTTTTCTTCAACGCCCTTTTCCCCAAAACATCATTATGCCTTGGTTAAGCTTGCTAAAACAGTATTATTTTTTTTTATACCAGCCAGACAAATATCTTAATAATTGGTTATAAATTTACATTTTGAGTGCCTTACTATGGCTGATTGATATTGTAGAGGCCTGAGTCTTGCAATAGCAAATATATTGCTGATCACCTTCAGGGGGTACATGCTACATGCACTAATGCCATCCAGTTTCTAGTGAAAAGCATTTTAGGAGTGCACATTATTTTCTGATAGTAAAAGTAGACTGAATTGCTGGTGACTGGAGCGTTGTATAGTAAAAAGCATTTGTTTGTTTGACTTCTTTAGACCTTTAATTTAATGGCTTGAAGTCCTTGTATGTCAGATATAATGAATATATCAGGAATGGTCTGTGAAACTTGTAGGTCATACCAATGAATGATTTTTTTTTTTTTTTTTTTTTTTTTTTTTTTTTTTTTTTTTTAATTTAAACCAAGTACCTGGAAAGCTGTATTTCCTGTCATGGCTGTGGATGGGCCCCTAAACCTATACAAGACACTGGTCATCATCTATTCTAGGCAGCAGAAGTCTACTACATCCAGTACCTTAATTGCTAACCCAGATGAAGAAAGTTTGTGATTGAGCTTCTGCTAAACTGTTCAGCTGAACAGGCAGCTGAGTCCTCAGTGTGACCAATTTAGCATGAGCTAAAAAAGTGTGCCTTTTCCAGACCTGTGTTTATAAGATGGAGAGTAAATTGAATACACCGTGGTTGTACTACTCGCCTTTCAATCCTAAACCAGGCAATGCCCCCTTCCATCCCACTCTGGTGCTAAAGCCTTGAAGTAGGGGTGAAAATGGCAAGAGAAGGCGCAGCTGCCAAATGCAAACAAACTGGGGTTCATTTTAAACTATGGTGGTCTTGCTTCTCTGCATAGCCTGCCAGTAAGGGGGGCATTTGAGCTTAACACCTTTAAGCTGAGTCTCCCTGCTGTAGGAACTGGACCAAGATCTCACAGTAGCTCTGAAGTGAAAAGGAATGGGGGCACTGCTGACCTGAACTAGCTATGAACCTCTAACCTGGCAAGGAAAGGTGCACTAGTTCATTGCTAATCCTGGTTTTGGAGATGCTGAGCATTTTCACCTCCTACAGCAATTCCTGAACTGCTTTGCATGTGTGGCACCTATCATCAAATGATCTTGGAAGAGCTTCATGGGTATTGGAACTCTTGGGGAGAGAATGCCCCATTTTATTGGTAGCCTCCAATGACAGGACTTGGTCCCAGCAGAGGGGATGGTCTTTAGTGGGGATTGTTCACATGAAATGCTTCAGCTCCAAGTCTGGGGGACAAAGCTGGGTGTCACCGGGTTTTGTGTTTCTGGGTCAGATGGGGCAGTCGTGCAAAACGTTTGTGAATCGTCTTAATGTATCTTGCTTCTAAGAATGTCTTGTCCCTGGCAGTGGAAGGGCTGAAGAGTAAATCATAGAATCATAGAAAATTACGGTTGGAAGGAGCCTCAGGAGGTCGTCTAGTCCAACCCCCTGGTCAAAGCAAGACTGTCCCCAACTAGATGATTCTAGCCAGGGCTTTGTCAAGCTGGGCCTTAAAAACCTCCAAGGATGGAGATTTCCCCCACCTCTCTAGGTAACCCATTCCAGTGCTTCACCACCCTCCAAGTATCCTAATATACAACCTAAATTTCCCTTGCTGCAACTTGAGATCATTGCTCCTTGTTCTGTCATCTGCCACTACTGAGAACAGTCTAGCTCCATCCTCTTTGTAAATACGCTTCAGGGAGTTGAAGGCTGCTATGAAATCTCCTCTTAGTCTTCTCTTCTGCAGACTAAATGAGCCCAGTTCCCACATCCTCTTCTCTGAAGTCATTTGCCTCAGCCCCCTAAACATTTTGTTGCCCCCACTGGATTCTCTCCAATTTGTCCACATCCTTTCTGTGGTGGGGGGCCCAAAACTGGACACAGTACTCCAGGTATGGCCTCACCCATGCTGAATAGAGCAGAAGAATCACTTCCCTCAATCTGTGGCAACACTTCTACTAATGCAGCCCAGTACACCGTTAACCTTCTTTGCAACAAAGGCACACTGTTGGCTCTTATTCAGCTTCTTGTCCACTGTAACCCCCAGGTCCTTTTCTACAGAGCTGATGCTTAGTCAGTCAGTCCAACGCCTGTAGTGGTACATGGGATTCTTCTGTCTAAAGTGCAGGATTTTGCACTTGTCTTTATTAAATCTCATATTTTTTTTAATTTAATTTAATTTTATTTTTTGGCCCAATCCTCCAATTTGTCTAGCTCTGTCTGAATCCTAACCCTACCCTTCAGCATATCTATGACGTCCCCCAGTTTTGTGTCATCCATGAACTTGCTGAGAGTGCACTCCATCCCATCTTCCAAGTCGTTAATGAAGACATTGAATAAAAATAGCCCTAGGACAAACCCCTGGGTCACTCCACTTCATAGAAACATAGAAATTAAGGGTTGGAAGGGACCTTGGAAGATCACTGAGCCCAACCCCTCTGCTCTGGGTAGGAATACTGCTGAGATCAAATGATCCCACCAAGGTGTCTGTCCAGTCTGCTTTTGAAGATTTCCATGGTGGGGGACTGCATCACCTCCTTGGGAAGTCTGTTTCAGATTCTGGTCATGCCTACATGGTAAGGGTGGGCAGGGATGGTGGAGGAAGTTTTCTGGGACGTATTCTTCCATGTTTGATGTGGGCAGCAAAGAGAGCCCACAAGCATGGAACTGTGTGGCTTTAGTGTGTCCCCTCGTCCCACCCCTTAGACTGCCAGCACTTGTGCCTTCAGGGGTAGGGAGCAGCAAAGGCCACATCAGTCCACAAGCAGCCTCTGTCTCAGACAGCTTCTGTTATTCTTCCAATCTTTGCATGGGTCCCAGGCCAAAAAAATATTTTTGTCTGTGCATGTACAGGACCACACTGCTTGCCTAACCTAAGCTTTCAGGCATCAGCAGTGCCATTGGGATGTGCGCTGTCTCAGCTTAGGGGAGGAAAACTTGAGCAGCAAGGGGTTGATGTTGGCCCTTTGCAAGGAGGTTCATGGTGTGCACGAGCTTCCTTTTATAGCCTTCTGCCCAAGTGCACAGTACACCTGCTTGCAAAAAGGAGATATGCATGTCATTCACTGGTGCTGGGGACAGCATGGGGTTCTTTCCTAAGTATTTTGGTTGCAAATCTTGGCCCTGACTTTCAGCACCCCATTGTTTTATTTGCAGGTTCCTTAAGGAACTTGGGCCTGACTTGCTTAACCCTCTCCTGTTTGCACCTTTGGCCTTTCATAGCTGAAATTAAGCCATGTTTTCTATGGCAGAAAGCATCTCCTGGGAGGGGCTGCAAACTGAGGCCCTCAGACTTATTACTCTGATGGTCCATGCCGTGTTGACCAGAAATCTCCTGAACAGAAAGGCTCTTACCTAGCCTCCCCACTGGACAGGCCTTCTGCCAACATGCCTGCTCAGACAGTTCACAGGAAAGACTCTGCCTCAGGGTCATTCTAACCCCTTATAGAGGTATTTATACCTTAATCCGGTCTCTCCTTAGCTTCACCTGATGCCAGAGTGCTGCAGGCAGGAGCCTGCACCGGCTGGGTTTAAAATTGGCTTTGGGAGTGGCTGTCTGTGTAGGTTTGAGCTTTTAGCTCTTTTTTTTTTTTTTTTTTTTTTTAAATATGATGCTAGTAATTCTTGATGCTGAAATCTGTTTCTTCCCCCTCCCTCCTTTCCATTTTAGGATGTTATTACAGCAGCAGCTTCTCCAGGTGAGCAACAGGGAGAAGATTGCCATGGGATTATTTAAACACCTAAGCAGCAGAGCAGGATGGCTCCCAGAGAGGATGAATGAGGCTGCAGCTGAAGGTCAGCCAGGGCCCGCCCCCAGCAGCAGGTGGCAGGAGTGATTGGCACCGTGTTGTGGATGGAGCAGGCGAACAAGTATATGCACCAGACCTACAGCTGTTCCTAGGCCTGGTTACAGATGTGGAGCTCAAGAGCTCGGCTGTCTCCTTGGCAACAGGAGGTAGGGGGCTCTCTCGGAGGAGAGCATATGCGGATGGGAAGCAGCAGCAAGCCAGGTTTGGGTGAGATGCTGCGGGATCACAGATCTCCAGTCCCCTGCATGGAGTTACCCTAAGATGCAGTGAACTTTTCTTCCCCCTGGATGGAGTTTCAGAGCGAGGGGTTGGCTTAGCAGGCCACTTCCCCAGAACATCAGGCCAGATCTTGGGCCTAGGGGCACAAAGACCCTGTCCCTTGTTTTTTCTGGCAAGCAAAGATTGTGATGGCCC